CCCGGGTATTTGTATTTTTCACACACACACACACACACACACACACTCGCTCCCGCCCCACTGACCCCGAGGCCACCGACAGCTTTTAGCAACCGCTTCACTGGTCTGCTTAGCTGAGCCACATAGTAATGGATTTGCTCAAGGGTTTCCAGACCATTTGAGCTGCAGCCTTGGAACTTTCTGCTACAGTGATTTTTTTTTTTTTTTTAAGTCCTTATCTTTTTAGACACACACTAAAGTATTTCCAGAGGGCATGTCTAGGATTTGCTTCCGAATAACCCAGTGGTGGGAGGGCAGGGGGCGTGTAGGTGGACCCGGATTGACTGTTTGATAATTAGAGACTCGGGGATGCTCAGGAGCTCATCAAGTGCTTTTAATCCCACAGTTGTTTGAACTTCTTCCATAGTAAGAAGAAGGGTTTACATATGAAATGGTCAAGAGAAGTGCTAACAGAAAACAAATACTCCAAACCTCCTTGAGGGAAAGAAGTCTGGGGCCTCCTTCTCCACGCTTTGCCCCCTCCTCTCCCGGACCCCAATCCCCATGCTTGGTGTCCCCCAAGGAAGGAAATGCGAGCCCACCAGTGCCCTCTGGGGCTCACGCTAGAATCCTCCACTCAGATTCCTCCATTCAGCCACAAAATGAGTTCAACACTGCTGGGTCTCATAGCCTGGCAGGCTGGGGCCAACTGTGAGCCCTTGGCCCAAACCTAAATCCTCGGGGAACACTATCAGTGAGCCCGGCTAGATGGCAGGAAAGGGTCAGAGAGTCAACAAGAGGTTTAAGAGGCAGGCTCTTGGCACGAAGCCAGGCCCACAACGGCCAGGGCGTTTCAACATCAGCTACTATGGAATATTCGTCCACGCTCCAGGCTGGCTGCTGTCTTTTATTTTTTTATATTTTTATTTTAAGAAAATTTTAAATTATTATGTTTATTTATTTTGAGAGAGACAGAGTGTGAGTGGGGGGACGGGTAGAGAGAGAGGGAGACACAGAATGTGAAGCAGGCTCCAGGCTCTGAGCTGTCAGCACAGAACCCGACGCGGGGCTTGAAC